TTAAGATCCTTCTATTTAAACAAATGTTGTAGACTCCGATGATCTGTATATACCTCACACTGGATACCGTACAAATAATGCCGCCAGATTTTTAAGGCATGAACAATAGCTGCTAACTCAAGATCGTGGACTGGATAATTCTTCTCATGTACCTTGAATTGTCTGGACACATAGGCAATCACCCTACCGTCTTGCATAAGTATTGCGCCGAGACCAATACGCGACGCGTCACAATATACAGTATACAACCCTGAACCTGTAGGCAACACCAATATTGGGGATGTAGTCAAAGCTGTCTTGAGCTTCTGAAAGCTTTCTTCACACTCATCCGACCACCTGAACGGAGCACCTTTCTGGGTCAATTTAGTCATAGACGATGCAATAGACAAGAATCCTTCCACGAAGTGACGATAATAACCGGCCAAGCCGAGAAAACTCTGAATCTCAGTAACTGAAGATGGCCTAGGCCAACTCTGAACTGCCTCTATTTTCTTCGGATCCACCTTAATCCCTTCACTGGACACTATGTGTCCCAAGAATGCTACCGAACTAAGCCAGAACTCACACTTAGAGAATTTGGCATAAAGTTTCTCCTCNAATACTACGACAAATGAGTCAAGATATGATTGGAATACACTGTTCATCAAGTGCATGAATGTTGCTGGGGCATTGGTTAGCCCAAAAGACATCACAAGAAATTCATAGTGTCCATAACGAGTTCCGAATGCCGTCTTTTGAATATCCGAATCTCGAATTTTCAACTGGTGATACCCAGATCTCAAATCAATTTTGGAGAACACCCTCGCTCCCTGAAGCTGGTCAAATAAGTCATTAATACGTGGCAAAGGATATTTATTCTTGATTGTCACTTTGTTCAACTGCCTATAATCAATGCACATCTGTATAGTACCATCTTTCTTTTTCACAAATAGAACCGGTGCACCCCAAGGTGACACACTAGGACTAATAAACCCCTTTTCAAGGAGTTTCTGAAGTTGCTCTTTCAATTCTTTTAACTCAGATGGTGCCATACGATACGGAGGAATAGAAATAGGTTGAGTGCCCTGCACCAAGTCAATACCGAAATCAATATCCCTGTCGGGTGGCATACCCGGCAGGTCTGTAGGAAATACATCAGGAAAATCTCTCACTACCGGTACTGAATCAATAATAGGAGTATCTGCATCAACATCTCTCACGAAAGCCAAGTATGACAAACACCCCTTCCCAACCATACGTTGGGCTTTCAAATAAGAAATTACCTTGCTAGAAACAAAATCTAGAGAACCTCTCCACTCAACCTTTGGCAACCCCAGCATGGTCAACGTCACGATTTTTGCGTGACAGTCCAGAATAGCATGACATGGAGACAACCAATCCATACCCAGGATTATATCGAAATCAACCATACCGAGTAATAAAAGATCAACCCTAGTCTCTAGTTCCCCAATAGTTACCACACACGACCGATCCACACGGTCCACAGTAATAATATCACCCACCGGTGTAGATACACTAACATGTGAAACTAAAGACTCACAGGGCATATCCAGATAATGAGCAAAATATGATGATACATATGAATAAGTAGAATCAGGGTCAAATAATATAGAAGTCTCCCTGTAGCACACTGAAACAATACATGTGATCACTACATATGAAGTAACAACATTTGGCCTGGCAGGAAAAGTATAGAATCGGGCCTGACCGCCACCTGATCGGCCTCCTCCTCTTGGGAGACCCCATACTATTATAGAACTGTAAAACTCCAATAAAAAATATTTAGCATCGATAAAATATGAGTGAAATCAATCCAAGAAAGGACAATGAATGACAATAAAGAGCATGTCACATTTTTAAACTTTTAAACTCTTTTATTATAAAAGTAGCGTAACTTCATTCTCTACATGATTGAAATTAAATATTATTTTCCTTACTTTCCAGAAAAGTAAAAAACCAATTGATAAATTACATGATTGTAACTAGCATAAAGGTTTTATACTCTGTTTTATATCAATGGAAAGAGTGCGCTATTAATTCTGTTAAAAAAGATCGATTGTCAAAAATTTACAATTAATATTAAAATCTTCATTATTTCCTTATATTCATTACTTGCCTTTTAAAATTAATAAGAAATTAATTATCTTGTTATATAATAACATTATAAATGTAGCATCTATGAAGAGATGTTAGGTGAATACGACAACATAAGATGTTTATATTTGATATAATAAATTAATAATAATTACAAATACTATATAACTAATCCAACTAAATTCATCATCTTTGCATGTTTCAAAACATATTGAGTTTAACTATTGTGTCAGTGTAAATTAATTTTTATTATTTAAATATATATGGCATTTATTTTAACTGTAATTGCTAATTTTCAACAACTTTTTCTTCTTGTATACGTTTAATGTACACGTGCAACGCACGTACACTAACGCTAGTCATATAGAATAGTAGTAAACTTGAATAAACATCAAACAAAGACTACAACACACCATCAAATCTGACAAGTATTAATCAAATTTTGATTCTTCATTTAAAATTGGTAGACAAGAAAATTAAACAACTCCTAAACTATGCAGAGTTTAAGAAAAGAATAAACACTAGAAACGCTTCTTCGACTTGGCTTTTTCGATCTCTTCACGTAATTCTTTTTTCATATCTATTTTTTCTTGTTAGATTTGTTGTTCATCAAATTCTTCACCCATCAGCATTGAAATTTCTCTTTCTGTTTCCAGATCGAAACTCTCTTTTATGTTTTTTCTTTGGCTTTGTAACTTCAACTTGGCTTTTTTTAACTCTTCACATAATTCCTTACTTAAAATGCATAACCTTAAAAGATTCAAGTAGAAGCCATTTAAAGTTATTGTTCTTCTTCTTTGTTTTTAAAAAAAATGTGGTTCCCTTAACGTCCGCATACAACATATTGAATTTCAGATGTATTAAGGAGAACATCACTCTAGCTTCATATAACTAAGCCACATGAGTTGCAGGACAACCATGCAGCTCATAGGATGAATCCTCCTCACACGCTAAATTTTCCCTCTTCACTAATATGTAATACTTCAAAAAAACCAAACAGATGCATACTATCTAAAGTTGTTCTCCTAATGGTCATGCACAAGAAAAGAAGCTGCATATGTANTGCACAAGAAAAGAAACTGCATATGTATTAAGGAGAACGCCATTCTTGCTTCATTTCGCAACATCACATGAGTAGAAGGATAACAATGCAACTCTTAAGATGAAGCTCATCTCTCCATTTTCCAACTTGACTAAAATGAATAAGCTCGAGAGATCCAAATTGATGCTTATCATTAAAAGTTAGCAATATTCCCATTCGCTCCAAACGCATAAGAAGGCTATCCCAAAACCACCCACCTATCCACCTCTTTCATTTTAAACAATGTCCAATATTAGAAAGGAATACTTAAGGAATTAACTAGTAAGTTTGGCTCCATACTAAAGGAATCAACTACTAACTTTGGCTCCCAAAGATTTTTACGGAGAATATGTTTCAACATGAAATATTAATACTAAATAAGTGGCCATTGACAATCAATCCTATAAGGGGAAAGATGGATATAGGAGAAGAAAAAAAAAGGGGGGAGGGGGGGTTACGTTATACAACTTTCACCTCATAGTTCAAAAGAAGTTTAGTTCAGGCTCATCTAGTTGTCACACTCTTCTTTCAGGATACTGGTAGTCTCGGAGCTAGCTTGTGTGCTTCTTGACTATTCTACCGAATACATGCACAAGTACGATAACACTTATTTCCTCTATCTTTTTGCTTTCCGTATATGAAAGTGCGGAGTAGGTACCAACAGTCTTAATTATGCGAATATAACATCGATTCTAATCATCGAAGATATCATTATTATTTTTTGTTATTCTTCAGAAACAATAATGTGAAGCACGCACCTTAACGAGTACATTAAGTGTTGAATTTACACCAACTGGTATACATAACCCACGCAAATAACATGAATAAGAAGCTTAAAGAAAATATTGGAACAAACTCTGCAAGTATAAAACTTTCAGGGGTTTTTTCATCAAATGCTAAAAGATAGAAGGACTCAATTTTTGCACTGCAATTTTATTCACGGTGAAGTACGAAGATGAGGTTTTCCAAATATCATAAATAACTTGCAGAATTATTCTCTTTTCTTCATTTCTTTTTAAACAATTTAAGTGTATTTTGAATACTTACTGTCCATTTCGTTTGAGAGGTTTGAATATTCACCAAATCCATAAATAAGGTCACGGTATCAATTTATTTTGAGACTCATTAAAATTTAGTCTAATTTTAAAGAGATCTTAATTATCACACGCAAGAAATCTAAAAGTAAAATACAAAATATCTTTGATCAACCATTTTCTTCTAACCAAAGCGTAGAAGGTCGGTTATATTGAACCATTTCTTTAAAGGTGACACCTCGAAGTTGTCATATTTACCAAATATTATTCAGATGTCCTAAACGGTAATTCAGTTGAATTTTTAACCTTTGTCATTTTACAAACTTAAACATGATTATATAGTCACAAATTTACAGAAACAAAAAGATCACCCGCCTGAACGATTGCTGCTCTTAGTACGCAATTCAAAGAATGTCAGCTCCCCATTGTTTTGATCAAAATCTCCTCAAAAATACTCCAAAAATAAATAAATATAGTATTGTATGTGAAATACAATTGACAACAATAATGCATTGGTTCTTAAAGCTACGAAAGAATCTTATAGACCAAACCAGATAAGTAATCATGTTAACGGAAGAATGTTGCACTAATCCAACATACGCCTTGTTAAAGTGGGCTCAATCATGAATCAACCACTTCAGCATTAGCTCTATTTGACTTATAATAATATGATTATTTGACTTATAATGATATAGAATAGCAGTAAACTTGAATACACATCAAACAAATACTACAACACACCATCAAATCTGACAAGTATTAATCAAATTTTGATTCATCATTTAAAATTGGTAGATAAGAAAATTAAACAACTCCTAAACTATACAGAGTTTAAGAAAAGAATAAACACTAGAAACGCTTCTTCGACTTGGCTTTTTCGATCTCTTTTATGTTTTTTCTTTGGCCTTGTAACTTCAACTTGGCTTTGTTTAACTCTTCACACAATTCCTTTTCCCATGTCTGTTTTTTCTTGTTGATTTGTTGTTTATCAAATTCTTCACCCATCGGCAGTGAAATTTCTCTTTCTGTTTCTAGATCCAAAGTCCTTTTTATGTTTTCTCTTTGGCCTTGTAACATCAACTTGGCTTGTTTAATTTCTTCACACAATTCTCTTTTCCATATTTCCTTTTTCTTGAAATTACTCTGCTGGGAGCAAGCCATTGGAGAATGAAAACTTTGAGCAGAGAAAAATATATAGAGAGAGAATGAGAGAACTGAGGAGCAACTTTGGGAAGAGAAAAAAAAAATATAGGCAGAGAAAGAGAAATATACTGTATAGAGAATGAGAGAGTAGTAATACTGAGGAGCAACTTTGGGCAAAAATATATATAGACAATGCTTTCCCTGGTTGACATGCTTTCCTATTCCTATCATTATAGGAAAGGAAATTAGTTAAGCAATATTTTTGCACTGCAATATTTTTGAATTTACACAAACTGGTATACATAACCCACGCAAACAACATGAATAACAAGCTTAAAGAAAATATTGGAACAAACTCTGCAAGTATAAAACTTTCAGGGGGGGTTTCATCAAATGCTAAAAGATAGAAGGACTCACATGCAAATATCACTTGGCAACCATCCTACCAATGAAATCCTCATACCGGATCTTCCCATCGGATCCAACAACAACCTCTCGGATCCACTCATCAAATTCCGCAGGCTCAAGCTTCTCACCAATACTCGTTAAAATATGCTTTAGATCAGAAACGACGACGAAACCAGTGTCGTCTTTATCAAGGACCTTGAACGCGTCGCGCAATTGGCGATCAAATGGCTCCGGTTTGAGGTGTTTTGACATGAGGTCTAAAATTCGGTTGAAATCGAACGACGAGGTGAGTTTTTCCTCGGCGATTATTGATTTGAGTTGGGCTTGGGTCGGGTTACCACCGAGTGATCTCATTAGGATCCCTAGCTCCGATGGAGCAATTTTGCCGTCGTCGCTGGTGTCAAAGAGAGTGAATGCCTCCCTCATGGAGGATATTTGATCGTTGCTCAGATCTTTCACCATTGCTATTTGCCTTCTCTGACTCTCTTTGCTTTTCTCCTATGTATAAAACTTGAGGGGCGTTTCACTTGTTTTTGAAAGTTTATATCCATGTTTCTAGGCTCGGATCTCTATATGCATTGACATTGAGAGTAATAAAATATATACTGTATCTTCTATTATATCAAAACTAGTGTTAACCGTGTACGAATAATTTGACAGAATATTAATTATATAAAATTATAATTTAATATTTTATCATGTTATTTTAATAAATATTAGTTGTTAATTTATTATGTAATTTAGTGTACAGAAATATAATAAAATCTATACAAAATCAAAGAATATACATTATATAGTAATCAAATACTAATTGTTTGTTCCTTTTTTATTCTTTGTTATTATTAAATTTGTAAGTACTTAGTATTATACATTTACTAATATGACTTTTTATTAATTTGTCAATTGGCTTAATATTTTGATGCCACTTGGCTTAAGGACAGGACTTTTTCCTCTCCTTTTAATAATATATAGATATATAAATTTGAATGGACAGTTTTTTTTTTCGTTTTTTATTATAAAATATTTTATTTTATTATTTTATAGATATTTAAATTTAAAAATAATAACCAATAACTAATTATTAACTAAATAACTAATTATTAACTACTTATGCCATATGGCTTTTTTCTATGATGCCACTTGGCTTAAGGAAAGGGCTTTTTTCTCTCCTTTTAATAATACAAGTGTTAGAACCCGCGCGATGCGCGGATAATTTAACAGAATATTAATTTTATAAAGTTATGATCTAAATATATTAAATTATTTTAATAAATATTAGTTATTATTTTATTATTTCATGTAGTGTACAGAGATATTAAAAAATCTATACAAAACAAAAGAATACACATTAAATAGTAATTGAATAAATTATTTGTTCCTTATTATTCTTTATTATTATTAAATTAGCAAGTACTTAGTACTATATATTTACTAATATGACTTTTTATTAACTTGTCAATTATTTTTATATTTTGAAATTAATTCTCTTTTATTATAATATAGATATATATATTTATTACTCTAAAAATATATTTTTTTAAAACTTATATTATACTGTTCAAAATTATTCAATTGTCTAAATTTATCAATAATTTTATTGAGTGTTATTTATTATTTATTTATTATTTATTAATTAAGTCTATAAATATCATAAAATTTTCTTCATTCCCATCTTTTCGTACATTCTTTTCTACTGTAATATTTGATTAGTTTTCTTATTTTGGAATTTACTGAAATTTTAAATACTGTAATATTTTTACTAAATTATAATTTTAAATTCATAAAAAGTATAAAGATATAAGCCTTTTTATTATTTTTATAAAACAAACTACCAATATGTATAATTATTTTTAATTCAATTTAAATTTTTAACTAATTATATATATNACTACTACCCAATTTGAATTGAAAGTTTTTTTTTATTTCTTTCTTTTCGTTTTAATTATTTTAAAACTCCAAGTTAAAACTATACCCTAATTTGAATTGGTATTTTTTTTAATAAAATATTCTATAACTCCAACTTGAAACTACTCCCCAATTTGAATGGGTAGATTTTTTTTGTTTTTCTTATTGTATCTAATTATAATATTTTTTTAATACAAATAGAGTAACCAATTAATTTAAAATTTAAAAATTCAAAATATTTTTTAGTTAGAAATGTAGTTTATTTTATCTTAAAACTCCAAACTAAAACTACTTCCCAATTTGAATTGGCAATTTTATTTTATTTTTAATTTCGTTTTTTATTGTAAAATAATTTTGAAATCCCAACTTGAAACTACTCC